TTTCCCCCCCCCCCCCCCCCCCAATGGAGAATGGCAGACCTGCAGGCTGCATACAAGTGATCTCGTCATCCCCAGCTGTTGTCAACAAGCGGCTGTACATTTAGCCCTGCTTGCCCAAAATGTAGATAACAACTACCCGCCAGTTGCCCGGAGCTGCTTTTCCCAGGCTTCGGGAGATAGGAATTCCACACCACTGTTGCCCCTTTACTCCCTGCTGCCCCGTGGCGGGGCCTTGGGGGAAATCCAACCCTGGGTATAAGGCCGGTCTGGTCAGTACGAGGAGGACGCAGACGCCTTTGCATGTGCCTGTAGGAGACCGGTGCTTTCCAAGCAAGGCTTCAGGCCTACGTGTGTGTTCTTCACGGAGTTCTTGCACGCCCGTTGTCTGCACATCCAGTACTGGCGCCAAATGGGCAATTTAAGGTCATACCCCTCCTGGATTTCCTTCTGAAGGGTCATCAGCTGCCTTGACCTCCATGGATAGGCTCTTTGCTCCTGCTCTGATTCCTGCTGCTGAACTTGACTTAATTTCTGGACTACACATCTGCCTGCTGCGCTTGTACCTTTGCTGCCCACCAGTTACTGGCCCTTGGCTCTGTCTGACCGGCCCCTGTCTGCCTAATGGATTCAGCACCTGTTACTCTCCCCCACAAGGCCAGCTCCTGTTGTAGTCAGCGGCTTTCACTTCTCCATGTGACAAAGTCCTGCCACGAGGACAGACATGGCCCAGGTTGACACATGGCCCCTCTGTTGCCCATGTGTCGCCCTGGCCAGAGACATAAGAGACTCTGCTATGGTTTGTCATGAGACCTTTATTTCATTGATGTAACACATTGCTTATCTTTGTATAACTCATGAGCGGGCGGTTAGTGCATGTCAAGGCTTGATCTTCAATATTACCTCACGGAAGAAAGGACAATAAAGTGGCAAGTGAAGGAAAAAACGACGATATCATCAATGTGTGCAAATCAAACATATATTTAGAAGAAATACTTCTTGTATAGAATAAAATAAAAAGAATAGATTAAAACATCTGAAATGTAAATGTCTAATTTGGGTGGGCTGACCCCTTCAAGTGGGCTGACCCCTTCAAGTGGGCTGACCAGGGCCATATTTCCCACATGGTCAACCAGAGGGGCAGCAGGGGCATGGAGTTCCTATCTCCCGATGCCCGGGATATGCAGTGCCGGGCGCCGGGTGGGTAGTTCTTTTCTACATTCAGCCCAGCTTTGGGCAAGCAGGGCTAAATGTACAGCGGGGAAGCCGCCGCTTGTTTTGTCCAAGTGATCCCGGTGATGTTGCAGTCAGCAGGACTGCCTGTCCCAATTCGGGGGCGCGGTTGGCGAGTAGGGGGGCACATTGAGGAACCTGGCCTTGGGGGCAGCATAGAGAGTAAATCCGGCCCTGGAGTTGACCCCTTCAAGTGGCCTGACCCTTTCAAGTGGGCTGAATCCTTCAAGTGGGCTGAACCCTTCAAGCTGCACCATCTTTGTTGCATGACTGGTCCACAGATGAAACAATTCAGCCTCCGGAGGTTCTTTTTAGCCGTCTCAGCTGCTGTGTCTTTTCTGGTGGATAATAAGTGTGGTTTTCTGAGCAAAACATTTCCAGCACTTGGGGCAGGAAAACGGCTTTTCACCGGTGTGGATCCTCATGTGCTTATCAAGGTTCCCTTTACTCGGGAAGCACCTGCCGCACTCGGAGCAGGAAAAGGGCTTCTCGCCGGTGTGGACCTTCTGGTGCGCCTTGAGTTGCCATTTGAACATGAAGGACTTTTCACACTCGGAACACGAGAAGGGCTTCTCCCCGGTGTGGATTCTCACGTGGCGAATCAGTGCCGTTTTGTGCGTGAAGGACTTCTCGCACTCGGAGCAGGAAAAGGGCTTCTCTCCGGTGTGGATTCTCTGGTGGACCGTGAGTTGCGATTTGTGGGTGAAAGATCTTTCACACTGGGGACACGAGAAGGGCTTTTCCCCGGTGTGGATTCTGTGGTGCCGAATAAGTTCCGCTCTCCTTATGAAGGACTTTGCGCACTCGGAACAAGGGAAGGGCTTCTTGTCGGTGTGGCCTCTCTGGTGTATCGTGAGTTGCGATTTGCTGCTGAAAGACTTCTTACACTCAGAACACGAGAAGGGCTTCTCCCCGGTGTGGATTCTCTCGTGTCGAATGAGCTCTGAATTCTTTATGAAGGACTTCTCGCACTTGGAACACGATAAGGTTTTTTTACTGGTGGGCATTCTCTGGTATACAACCAGGTTGTGAGATGATTCTTCGGGGCTGGAAGGATCTGGTGATTTATCGGCACTGCGAAAGCTTGGTTGGAAACTTGTAATAAGAGTATGAGATTTGTCTTTGGAGTCCTCAGAACTAAACTGATCTGGTGATCTTACCATATGGTTACGTTTGTGATGTATGTTTTGAGTAACGATGGTTACTCCTGGAGAATGTTGTGCCATGGCTTCATCTTCTTTATTATAATGTCCAGATAAGATAAGACGTCCATCTGACATAATCCAGCCATTGTGTCCTCCTGTTGGGAATATTTTTTTATTAATGAAAATACAAATTAATAATAACATGTTCAAGTTTTGCAGTTAGAAGTCATGTTGGTCTAGAAATCAACTGTTCCCCAGATCTTTGGCATGGAATTAGGTACATTGATAACACCAACACAAGGTTAAAAATCAGATATGGTGTACAATGCAACCAAAGCAACTATGGCACAGTAGGCCAAGATTTACATACATGACATTGTTATGGCAAGGAATAGAGGTGGACCTTCCTTCACCTCGTTTGTTGGAGAAATTACGTTATATTGAGGAACAGAGATGGACCTTTCATATGGTGTACAGTATCTCCTCCTCATTTGTAGGAACATGACGTTATATTGAGGAATGGAGATGGACCTTCATATGGTGTACAGTATCTCCTCCTCATTTGTAGGAACATGACGTTATATTGAGGAATGGAGATGGACCTTCATATGGTGTACAGTATCTCCTCCTCATTTGTTGGTCACATGACGTTATATTGAGGAATGGAGATGGACCTTCATATGGTGTACAGTATCTCCTCCTCATTTGTTGGTCACATGACGTTATATTGAGGAATGGAGATGGACCTTCATATGGTGTACAGTATCTCCTCCTCATTTGTTGGTCACATGACGTTATATTGAGGAATGGAGATGGACCTTCATATGGTGTACAGTATCTCCTCCTCATTTGTTGGTCACATGACGTTATATTGAGGAAAGGAGATGGACCTTCATATGGTGTACAGTATCTCCTCCTCATTTGTTGGGGACATGACGTTATATTGAGGAATGGAGATGGACCTTCATATGGTGTACAGTATCTCCTCCTCATTTGTTGGTCACATGACGTTATATTGAGGAATGGAGATGGACCTTCATATGGTGTACAGTATCTCCTCTTCATTTGTTGGTCACATGACGTTATATTGAGGAATGGAGATGGACCTTCATATGGTGTACAGTATCTCCTCCTCATTTGTTGGTCACATGACGTTATATTGAGGAATGGAGATGGACCTTCCATATGGTGTACAGTATCTCCTCCTCATTTGTTGGTGACATGACGTTATATTGAGGGATGGAGACGGACCTTTCATATGGTGTACAGTATCTCCACTGCATGGTATAGTAAGATAGGTAAGTCAATCATAATCTTATAAACAACATTGGATATTTTTTCCATCATGTCACAACAAGCCAATTTTATTATTTCAACGTACGAAACCCTTACCTGTGCTGCTGATATCTAGAGAAGATTCCTCCTTGGCAATTGCCTTCATCATTTCAACTTCCTTCATAGACGGGTGATTCCCACTTACATATATCTCTTCTTCCTCTTTAACCTCTGTTTTGATATCAAACATTTCTTCCGTCTGAAATCCCCAAATGATTGTGACAGTAATATCCTTAGACTACGTAGAAGAATGTAATCCAATACAGTTTAGAGCCAAGTTTGAGTTTGGCAAGCTTAGCTCAATCTACCTGCTTATGGTGAGGGATCTCATGATGTTCCTGTGTGGAATCCCGGGAATACAGAGGACGGGGACATCTCCCTGGTGGGTTCCTCTTACTGGATCCATCTGTAGGAAACACACACACTGACTGAATACATTGTTTCTATGTGTGTATCAGATGATGGGGGATGTAGGTCGACCCTCCGTACTGCTCTCTCCTCTTACCCGGTGATGTGAGGGGCGGCTCATTCTCCATCACCATGTCCTTGTAGAGATCCCTGTGTCCTTCTAGATACTCCCACTCCTCCATCACATTATACTCTTCCTCTTCTTCTTTTATCTCTTCTTTGATACGAACATTAAAATTGATCATGTTTCCACTCTGCATGTGAATGTAAAACAAATTGGTTAAAATTCTTCTTCCACGGAGACATCCTGGCACCTTCTAGGAACCTGACACACACAATGATACAGTCACCATCCAGACACACCCCTTGTCTGTTCCTGGATCATGTCCCAGAATTCCCGGCACCGCTCACCTTTCCCATCAGCAGCTCGATGATCTTTTGGGTGACTTCTAGAATCTTCTCTTCATTGTTTCTTTCTGGGACCAGTAAGGAACGTAGAGGGACCATAATTGAGTTCTGTCCATCTCCCAATGTCTTTTTCACAACTATGTCATCCTGGGAAGAGAGATAACCAATCACTGTATAGATTTCCTATTGAAGTTGCAGCTTGCCGCCATTACCATCCCTCTTTGCTATAATCTGATTGATGTTTCTTCCCATATTTGCAAATCATCCTTTAAGCTCTTTCCAGTCACATTGTATCAGTCACTACTCTCGTAAGACAATATCAATCACAGTGCAGGACACCCAACTGCAACTTCCTACATGTATGGTCCCTCCGATCTAGAGAGGGCCTAGTTTGTGGTGGTGGAGGTGGTGAGGACGAAGAGGAGATGCTGAGCCAGACGGAGAGTAGGGCTGCAGTGTACAGGTAATCAGGGCTGGATTTCCCACAAGGCCAACCGAGGACCGGCCTCGGGGCAGCAGGGAGTAGAGGGGCAGCAGGGGTGGGGAATTCCTATCTCATGATGCCCAGGACATGCAGTTCCGGGCGCCGGGCAGGTAGTTGTTTTCTACATTTAGCCCTGCTATGGGCCAGCAGAGCTAAGTGTACAGCAGCGAAGCCGCCGCTTGTTTTTTACAAGTGATCTCGGCGATGTCACTGAGATCACTTGTATGCGGCCTGCATACGGGCAGGGCGCATTGAGGAACCTGGCCTTGGGGCAGTCAGCAGAGAGAGTAAATACGGCCCTGCAGATAACATCAAGCTGTGCGCAGGCAGGTTGTCTATTGTGGCCGACCCCCAAACACTTGGACGTCATCTCTACCAAAAAAAGCCTACAGGACAGCTGTGAGATTTGCACCTTATGAGCCCTGTGCAGAGCAGCAGCATCCTGTCACCCTAAGGCCCCATTCACACTGAGCGATTTATCGCGCGGTAATTCCCACGATATCGCGGCTATTTACCGCGCGATATCGCTCTCCAATGCATGGCAATGGGGCTCTGTCCGTCGCTGTCGCGGGTTGTGCGTCGCTACAGCAGGACCCTTTTTGGAGCGGATTTTGCCGCGATTCTAGCTTGCTCAATGCAAGCATTTGCGCGATATCGCGCAAAATGCAAATCACGCAACAAACGCGCAATTTGTAAATCGCTCAGTGTGAATGGGGCCTAAGATGTCTACAAAAATGTGTTGAAAAGGAACATAAATATATATTGATAATAATAATAATACAAATAATAATTAAATAATTAAAAAAAAATATTAATAATAAATATATTAACAATAATAATATGGATCGCACTCTGCTCCATTCACTTCCTGCAACAATAGTGCCCATCCCCCCCCGCCCACTATGGATAAAAGGCAGGCTCTTCTGCGATTGGTTCTTCCCAGCCATTTTGTTGTAGCTCGGAAGACCTGGAGGAAGCACTGTTCCTGGGGTCAGCTTATAAAATCCACCAAAGGTTGCCATCTGCTGAGAGCAAGATGAAGTTCTAAGGCATGGAATATGTTCATGTAGTTGTATGCCAACATGTCTTCATATATGGGCTACAACAATATGGCTGCCAACAGGAGCTACAATAATATGGCTGCCACCAGGAGCTACAATAATATGGCTGCCACCAGGAGCTTATCCTCATTGGTTACCTACAGGGAAGTGAAATGGGTACTTAGTGTTCTAGTCCGGAGCTGCTCCAATGGAAGGAAGGGAGGAAGACTGAGGAATTGTCTACCAAAGACACTTCCAGGACTTCTTCTAAATCTCCACACGTCAATCACTGGTTACCCCTTCTGACCTCCATGTCACTACTGTTTTGCAATAATGTGGAGATCAAAGGGATTTTGTATGTGTCAGAGAGCCACAACCTGGGAGCTGCCCCGCAGCTCGACATCCACACCATCAGTGGGTCTGGTGAAGACCAGGAGGCTCCTTAGAACCTGCTACTCTGGAACACCTACGTTTATTGTGCGGTAACACTGTCCCTGCGTTTTAGAGACCTGTATCCCTGCACGATCCTAATTTAGTCACAATATACTGCTCCGCAAGACCCGGAGTTTACGATTCCTGGTGCTCCGGCGCCCAAATCGTGATACCTCTGCTTTGTGGTACTTCAGACTCCTGGGAGTAAGAAAGTCTGAGCACTCATCCCGGGACTGTTAGGTAAGAGAACCCTTGCAACAACTTTCCCACTCCCCCGGCTCTACAAATTCTTGTAAAGATATCCTAGGACTGGACTGCCTTCTATCTGGAGAGTAAGTAAAACTGCTTGTTCAGCGGAATGTTCTTCACTTAGAAAACCCATAACCTTCTACGAAGGTCAAGTTCCAACTAGTCGTCCTCGTATCGATGCCGGTGAAGAACAAGTAATTGGGATCGGTGGGAACACAACAAGAGTCCACACTATGACTTTATTTTATTCCTGTCACGCAATGCATATCTCTAACATAAGGAGGAAGAACAGTCCGAGACCCCACCATTGTTCCCTGAGAACTTCAATAATAAAGATGGAAATCCAACCAAAACGTTTTGGTTTTTGTTCAGTAGGTTTTATTATTTCTCATTTAGCAGTGGGACAATCAGCCGTGCAGTTCTGCAGACGTAGTACAGCCGT